TTGTTTTATAGAAAAACCGTCTTATTGAGCTGTAATAAGTGAAAAGAGGACTGCGTTTTGCTTTTGCACTGCCCGTGTCTGCACTATATACGCCGCATATTGGTACTTATACGAATGATTTCTGATTTTTATTCATTTTATTGTTATGAGAGGGTCGATCATTTATTGGAAAAACGTTTTTTTTTTGCATGGAGTTGTCCACGTGCTTCAAGAATCCTCACCTTTCAAATCGAAAGGTATATCCATGGGAAAATCATACTTTAAGTCGCCCAATTTATAAGAATTTGACTTCAAAACTCAGATTTCACAAAGTGGAAGTTGTAGACGGAACATATAGGGCGGGAGTTTCGGTCTGCGGCCGGAATAGGTATCGGCAGAGTTTGCACTAATCAAAATTAGGAGCACTTCCATAGAAAAGTACACTTACTCTATACCTCCTGCTTTTTCAGTAGACTGTTAGTAGTCATTCGATAGCTAAAAAATAGAAATTCCAGTACTAGGCTGGGTTCATAAAAAGGCTTTCTAAGCAGTAATACCAGGGCGGGAAAACATACGTCTCGTCTTCAAAATAGCTATCTCATTGCTTGAACTTCGCCGAGGATTCTAGACAGCTATATAGCAAAAAATAAAAATCTATTGAAATTTGAGCGTGGTCTTAATAAAGCAATCGAAGGAAAGGTATACTATGATAAAAATACCAGCCAGCTAGCAATCGAGTGCGAAAACACTCCGTGTTAGGTGAATGTTTCACCTGACATAGAGTGTAAAGCGTAGGTCGTCGATAACTATATATAAGGAGTGTGACGCTCCCGAGAGAACTGACTATTAAAAGGTCGACAGACGACGGGTTCTGCCCGGACTGATGAGTCTGTAAGGACGAAACACGTGTCTCGGGCTGTACAAGAGCCCTTACCAGACCACATGACATGTTGGCTCAAATAATAATGAAAGGATATATAGCAAAAGTTAGCTGGTGTCGACACTTTTTTGTCACGAGAGAGCGACATGTCACCAAGGAAATTTCCGTAGACATTTTCACCATGTAGTCCGCCAACATATCCTAAGAAATTACGTTCATTTGGAAAACAACAAAACAAAAATGAATCTCTTTCAAGTGTTATTTCCCATTGCTGTCTGATATCTTGCAGGAGTAAGACCGTCTTTTTCTATCTCATCATTCCTCCGATCGCCGCAAACATAGCAAACCTTCCACGAGAGCTTTGCTATCTTTTCTGGAATTACATGATAATTTGGGCAACGCAGATGGTCCATGTCCTTAAGAGCAAATGGCATTGCAAAGGTTCGAGGACCTTATACAGAAAATGGTCCAAGTAGCGAGGGCGGCACCCAGCTGCCACCAAAACAGTTAGCTCAATCGCCGGACATCGTCCGACGGTCTCTTCACATCACCCGGAGCACCTCATCAATTCACTATCGATGGATTATTGCTCTTTACACAGTCTCGTTGTCGTGTATCTAATTGATAACATAAGGTTGTGTTCATATAATTGTTTAGTGATCTCGATAGAATTGTGAGCGGAACATATCACATACTTGGCGGAGCGAAATCACTTAGGCTATGCTCGGCCTACAACCGCGGTTAGGAGATTCTGCCTAATATATAATCAGTAGTGACCCCCACTGCTAACACACTATATATTCACCCACTGGATCTCACAGTTGGATTGCTATTCCGGGGCGAGCATAACACCCAAACGAACTCCGCCGCTACCGAGAAGTTCAACGCGTGACAGCACAAAGGTCAGTGCGCCGCTATGGACAATCCAACCATATTCAGGCATCGATTGGATCATTCCGAGGCAATCCAGGCACCAAACCATAAAATCACTGAACCTTCACCACAACAGATTCACTCTGCTGTTCATCCAAACACAATTCGCTTCATGCCCAGAGTTATCCGTGACGTAAAAGTACCTAACTCGTCTTTGCATCCGCGAACTATATACGTGGAAATCAACAAGGCCAATCTGTGATCAACATTATCATTAGCTGACTATGGATTAAGAGCTTCAAGCTCTTCTTTGAACTTGTAGAAGAACCGAAGCAAATCATGCGGTAGAGGGAACACTCCCACTGGTGAAAACATAAACATCGGAAACAGTTGGGCAGCACAGAGGTCTCTGTTTTACTGTTCGACGTCTAATTACCTGAACGTGGTCACCTTAGAGTTATTAGGAGAGCTGGAAATTTGATTGGGCGCATGAAGTCTTCTGGAGGGCATTCAACTAGAACGAATACGTAGAGGCCGTAAACGGTACGAATATCCTTATTTTATAAAACGAAATAGTTTCGAAACTGGAATTTTTTATGATAATTTTTGACTTTAGAAGAATAAACTGACGAACTGCTTGATTTCTTGGTTATTATTCAGATGCGGCAATGAATAAAAATAAGAACTTGTTAGCATGAAAGACAGAAGATAAATATGGTTGATTAATGAGTGAATATGGATGAGACAGTATAGAAAGGTTCAACACAGTATGAAACACACCACATTTGTGAGTATTTGGCTCCTCACTTGGAACCCGGGATTCTAGGAGAGATAATCGGCAATATTCCTACTACAAGTAGCCTTATCAAACTCTCTTATATCATCTTTCTTGACTTTTTGGCGACTTAAATCCTTTTAATAACGACAAAAGTAGAAATTTAACTAGAAGACTGTCGCATCGTGATCGATAGCTCGCCTCTCAAGTCGCGCGACGACGTCGCGTGCCGCGCCCAGATTTCAACTTCATCATCAAAGAATGAATTGTGATATGTGCTTACCACATCGAAGTTGATCGCCGACTGCTTCAATACTTTCTGTCGCAGAGTGATAGCAGAGCAAAGAATTCGGTGGTGAGGCAGTGGCACGCGCTAACGGTATGGATGAACGCGAGTTCAACTCCCACGTAAGGTTAGGAGTTTTACACATCATTCAACATTTTTGGATGTATAGTTATTTGCACTTGTAGAAAAATTTGCATAGTCACGAAATGGTCGAAAAAGCGAATACTTTATCCTTTAGTGTTCTATCGATATAGATGTAATATCAAATTTCTGTATTATCAATTTCTCAAACAGGAGACCACTTTGATACCGCAGTAATAGGCTACACCGTTATGTCACCATAGAATAGCAAATTTTCTCAGAATAAATGACATAAACACTATTTATTCAAAGATAGTGAGTTATATGCAAAACCTCCGATACTTAGAAGAGTGTTGACCCGCATTCACCCACACCGGGGTCGCATTCTACCACCACACAACTAGTGGCGCGATACCTTATAATTAAGAAAGAAATGTAGCAGAGCAGTGGTCTCAATGGTGTAGCGGTAGCACGCCATCACAAGTGTGAGTCGTACACGCGTTCACCCCACCTGCAGTTGAGTGTTTTACATAACGCTAAACATTCCTGGATGTGAAATTTTAGCATCAAACACTGCTATAAGAGCAGTAAAATTTATTTTAAAAATTCTGCAAAAGCGGTATAGTTGGGAGGGGAAATCGTGGTTCACGTTAGAGCTGCATATCTACTCGTAGCAGCGCGTTGGTGAAAGTATATCTTCATGATGTGTGGTGGTCTTGAATTGCATCTGTCATTTGGTCAGATATAACCGTAAGTGACGGAGATATGTAGTAAAAGTCTGAGTGAATATTTTCACTTGTAAAATAACGGTCATGGTGTTTTGAATTATTTTTTTATCTCATTTGTATTTTTGCATTTAGAATGAGAGATATGAGAACAAAAATATTCACCTTTTTGTACTCGTCCATTTTCATAGTGCAGAAGATCGTGAAATGTTGGAGTTGATCATGAACATTGTCGTAAATGTTCACATCGGTGTCAGAAGGAATCACGAGTAAACGCCTAACCTGAACAACGAAAATTCATAATATAAAAATAACAAAGCTAATTGCGGTCATAATGATCAACTTTTGCACGACACATTCTCACAACTATCTTAAGGATACCAGCACCTATTGCATACATTTCGTTTCCAGATAATAAGAATGTCCTCAAACTTGCATGCTGGTTCGATTGCTGATCGTGAATTTTCGCCTTCATTAAGAATCTCGCTGAATGCTGGTAAAGTCGAGTCTCCCTAGAGTTCTAAGATATCGTGCAAAATCGTTTCAACGGTTTTTGAAAGGAGTGATCTGATCTCAAATATGTCTGGTGCTGATTTCCGAACCACGGAGAGATGGGAGGCTTACTGAACTCGGGATGAAGCATGAGGAGCTATCTTGTAGTGATACAAACAGCAACGCATTATTGTTTCTAGCACAAGTTCCAGAATAAATTCAAAGCTTTGTCTTTCCGTTTTCACTGGCACAGTGAACACTGGATGTCCGCGATTTCTTCTGAATTCTAGGAGAGTATGCTAGAAAATTTACGGCTCTTCGTCACAGGCAGTTCCTGACCTAAGGGGATCGAGATTGTGCTTTTCGATACATTTGGAACAGTTCCAGTCCAGCGATTAGCTGACTGAGTAATCGAGAACGACGCACAGGTCAAACCATTCATAATTCTTTCACTACCGTGGCCAATTTCTCGTGTCGCACCCCTCTGACCGCTGTCACTGGAACGCGATTGCTACGTGTACCATATGCTGTACACATGGTCGTAGGGCTCGAAAAAAAACGATGTACTAGTTTCCGGGTTCGTCTTACATCTTGTTGTAACTTTCCTTCTCATTCTGACTTCCCGGATTCTGAAAGATCTTTTGCAACTGTTTTTACGCTTTTGAGCTATTTATTGTGTAATGAATCAAAAAGTTGGAATTACATGTTGTATAGTATTGCAGACAATAAACGGAAAGTACAAATTGATTACTGTAGGGCGTACTAGGTGGACATCTTATTGAGACACCATAATTGTTTATTTTATCAGAAGGTACTAAACATTCAATCGCAATTCATTCAGTTGAGCGCTTGTTGCGATAATATGATCTTGTAATATACCAATAATGTGGAATACTGTGCAAAAACATTTACGTCAGCCGGGATTCGAACCCAGATCTTAATCTTTTCGGGAGCGTAGCTAACCGTTGCACAACCGGCGCTCGTTTAGTACATCACTCTTTTCACGCTACAACGCGTTATCTGTCAACAGCCAACCGTCTACGAGCTGGCGGAGCAGCCGCTATCGGCATTGAACGCACTTGTGCTGACAGATACTGGGTACCAATAATCAATCGGAATTTATTTATTTTATATAGGGTATATTACAAGATCATGCCACCGCAACAAGAGGTCAACTAAATGAATTCCGATTGATTATCGATACCCACTATCTGTCAGCACAAGTGGGTTCAATGCCGATAGCGGCTGCCCCCCGCGCCAGGCCGTAGACTGTTGGCTGTTGACACATAACGCGTTGTAGCGTAAAAAGTGCTGTGCAAAACTAGAGTCGGTGGTGCAACGGTTAGCATACGCTTCCGGAAAGAGTGAGATCTGGGTTCAAATACCGGCTGACGGAGATACTAAATATTCACTATATGTCGAAGAAAGTACAAGTTATACTCACGAAGGATCAATGGTTGGGTGGTGCTAATCAATTGAAAATAAATTGTTACAGACCGCTTCTGCATGTGTTAAGGGAAATCCTTTGTAGGCGGTGCCGCACGTTCAAAGGTGAATGCTGTTAATCGCTGCTGACTATATATCTTGCTCATTGATGAATAGATATTTGAGTAAAAGGTCAATAACTTTAGTAGGATATCATCAAACGCATTTATTTGAAATCTTACGCAAGGTCGGTATCGAAAATGATGGTTGACGTTTCTTTCAGAGCCTAGACGTACTATATCATTCCATATCTCTTTCCTCTAGTTATCTAAAGACAAAGGGTAACTGGCCGACTGGCGAGACCGCCAAGGTCGAAACACGTGTATAAAGGGCTCAGTAAGTCAGCCCATTTAACAAACCACACAAAATGGTGGTTCAAATAATAATTATGAAATATGTTCTGATCTTTTAGACAATTAGGTGGCTAGTTCTATATCTGATAAAAGCCTAGTGCACTGATGAACGCCTAGTGCACAAGCCCCACCTGCTTTTTATAAGGAACCTATTCCATATAATAGCGGAAAGGTCACCGGTGTGTTATCACACTCTGCTACTAATGAACCTCACTCAAACTCAACTGAACACTCAATAAAAAGCCAACCCGAGATAAAGTGCCGTTACATTCGTGATGTTCTGACACTCTCCCCTTCTATTCATAAATGGACTTTCGAACGAAAGTTTTCCGTGACGACGTTTTTGACTCGCGTTTCAGGATCTACCCACCTCAAAGTTGTTACCACTGTGCCTGTACTATATCTTCTCTGTCTTTTCCTGTAGGCGCATTTAGGACAGAAAAGCCTAACGATAGCGACTTCAGGGTGGCAGTGAGAATTTTGGGGCAACAGTGAAAAAACCTTGAGATTTTACATTAACTTTCAGAGTTCAAAAATGAGTAAAATAAGTAGAGCAAAAAAAGTCTGAACAATCCACATGATGTGACATCTGATATCAGATTGATTTTTCAGTTTGAGTAAGGTTCAGTATTTGTATGTGACAGCACGACAATTACCTTTCGCATATTGATGTTCAAGCGATAGGTTTCATATAATAAATGAGCAACTGAGTTGATTTATGCTTTAGATTTACAACAGATATTGTTCTACAATTATCACTTCCTTTGACCCGTAATACAGTTTTTAGTGCATTGATTGCGGTACTTCCAACATTGAACAGTCTCCTCGAGTTCATTGAATGGTTGAGAATTTTTCTTCTTCAAGAACGTCAGAGTGAGCACATCTCTTTGCAATTCTAAGGACAGCCATGCTGGGACTTCCCGTAGGACGTTCGTTAATTCGCCGGAGAGTGATGGCGGTACGAGATCAAGCCCTCTTCGAGCCGCACTAATCACTCGAGTACGGATCCTCGTTGACTAGATAAGAAAATATCAACTGAGTAATTAGATATTGTACGGTGTTGTACGTCTAAGTTCTGAGAAAGGGGAATTTGTCGAAACGTTGGCCATCAACTTGAAGGAGGTCTACCAAACGTCGCGTAAGTTTTTGAAAAGGATTATTTATAGGTTGGTTTTCATTACTTGTCGTTTCCCAATACTACAAAAGGTTTCCTGTAAATTTGTAAAATGGCACGCTACTTATTTTTGAACTTTTTTTGAGAAACTTTAAAGAAGTATTGATGTACTACTTTATTACATTATTTCCTTGACATCACTATAGAAGTCACCTTCACAATTAAAACATATATGTAAGAAATCCCAAAAATTCCAGTACCAAAGAGTGGATGGAAATTTTTATCTAAGCTTTATCAGCAAGTGTGTGATAACGTCATGACAACATAAGTAATTAGGTAAGGTTTTAACACGCGTAACAATCATGATAAATATCGAATTCAAGGTGCTTTTGGTAACTATGTACTTCTATTATTCTTCTAGTAGCTTGAAACACCGAAGAAGAGCTATACTTACGTCGCACTCTATGTCTACATTACAACCAGATTCGTCATCCACTTCCGTCATTTAATCGTGTGTGATGTTTACGAGTCTTTCGCTGTAAAAGTCAAATTGTTAGAACAACAATCGACATCGTTTCATTAATGCAATAAAACGCACTATTACAAACGGCTTAAGGTTTCATGTGATGTGATATCACAAAAAAATGGTGACTGCGACGACGGTACATGATGCTAGTAAAACAACATTGGATAGGAACAAAATACGAAGACTGTCTATAGCTTCATCGTTTATTGTGTGGACGTGGAGTAATGGTATTTGGACTCAATGCTTTAAAGCAACTATGAGAACCTTATCATATGCATTCCTAACCCATTGCGCATCGTCCAACCACAGATCAGCATTGAAAATCGCAAAAATTTATTAATAATCACTAGCCAGCCTTGACGCGGCAAACTATGTTCTTCTAATTGTCGGTCTATTCTTCGGTTCACATAATGTACAAAAAAATCGCTTCAACCGGTTAACTTCCGTGGTCCCAGGGGCGTGTCCAATGACTCCACACTTGTACACATAACATCAAGAGGCAGCAGTCACTACGCCGGCGTAGACCGCACACGAATCATTCCAAAACTTAGCTTCGTGTTCTGAAACGAAAAGTAGCTGTAGTCGACGTTGAGTCGGGACGGGAGAGGTGAAGCCGCTGGACACGCTCCCGGGTCCACGGAAGTCGAACCGTTAAGGGGCCATAATTGCCGTATCAAAGGACACTATAGTGTCTGTAGGATGAGAAATGGGTTAGAAGTGAAAATGTTACCATTTTATAAGTTATCAATGAATTATGCAAAACTATTAAAATTAACAAAAAGCATTCTGGATTTTCGATAGTGTTAGCGTTTTGATAGGCTATTTTCTTTTATAAGAGGTGGAATACTCCTAATGCAAACAATGGGTCAATGTTTAGTGTTATACCGAATAGAATCACAATGGATTATAAGCAATAATTATTCATGAACTAATGAAAGATTTACTTTCTTTGAAGGAACAACGAAAAGTAATCTTTGAATATGTAAAGAGGGAACTCAAAATAAGTTCAAACAAATTTCCAAGATTTGCTAGACTTTCTATTTTGGATGCACTTACAAGGATAACGAAAGGAATAAATTGTTCACAATGCATATAATCATTCTAATTAAGTATTAAAGGCTATTGAATAGCTTATCTAAATGTTTCTCACTATAAGCTCTGTGAAATGACGCGAGATGAAGCAAGTTTTTCTCTTCAAAAGAATTATCTAATGTAGTCAGTTATGTTCCAACCTTTTAGAACTATTCAAAATGTTGATTTTCCTTTACAGAGCACGAAAAAAAGCTTATTTTTGATTAGCAACAAACCAGTTCCTGATCTTCAAACACCTCGGTAGAATTTCAACTTTCCCATCTTCTATTCTATCGCTGTTTTTGCATTTTTATGCAAATTGGAGTGCGCGAAAGTTCTATTGAAGATGTTTGGAAAATAATTAACGAACTTTTGATCTAAAAAAAACCTTTAGAAAAAGTGAGAGGATCGGTATGTTACCTTGCCAGGTTATAAACATAAATTCATTAGAAGCGAGCGTGACATTTTTGTTAACTCTAATATCGTTTGAAAAAGAAGTCCGTTACCAAGGAGGCCGCTGAAACACGAGGGCAACAGGACAGTGTAACTAAGCACACAGTAGCTATAGACAATTTGTATCTTCTGTAGTATTACAACATAGGAGTAGAAGTGCTCTTATTGATTTTCTGCCTAGTGCTTAAATAAGTCTCTAACTACAAGAATGTTGTGATGCGAGCAAAACTTGGAACGCCAAGTGGGTATTTGTGGGTTCGACGCCACTTCACGTTTTGAGCTTTGTTTGCATCTCACATTCCTATCTTTGTATCTCACATCGTATCCTTCTGTGACGTAGTGAATAGGCAGTAAATGAAAGTTAGACATAGTAGGATTTCAATGCTTCATAAACTAGCATGGTTACGTTGATTTAAAAATGATAAAATCGACATAATTAAAGCTCGGAGTTTGCATTTTACGAAAATTCTCAGTAAAACATTTTGTGTACATTCTATACATCGCCTCTATTTACAACAGGCACTGTCTGCTGCATGTAAACATCTGTATTACTTTAAACAGACATCAACACTGATGCAAAGGTGAGAAGAACTTGTACATTCTTCAGCCAGCAAAGTCCCGCAATTACAAAATTCTGAAAGCAATGCCGGTTATTAGTAAAAAGTTCTGCTTAGGAAAAAAAATATTCGTGAGGGAATCCTTCTCAACTAACTAGAGTAACAGTGATAGCTCACAACTGAAAAATTCCCTTCTAAACAGTGAAAGCGACGATCCAATGAGAAAAATTCAACCACTGCCTCATTCACATAGAATGTTAGCAAAGATTGAGCAACTATCTAAAGCTTGCGCGAAACGGATAGAATGAACCCTTGAAAAATTGAGGTTTTATTGAAGGCATCAATGAGGAGTGAAAATGGCTCAATTCAAAATACTTACAAGACTATGTTCTTGCACTGATATGAATGAACTCTCATTAGT